ACACAGGCCAAGTAATGTCAATTCAGATCGATCGTACAGGGGCAAAAACATTCTCTGCTATCCGGCGTGACAGAGAGAAACAATTGTCCAAATAAATTTCTTTTCTTTTTTTCCTTTGAAATACTTGAGACCGAACTTGGACGACGCGACGTCTCTTCAGGGTGCATCCGTGGGCGCGGGACGTCGCCCCGTTCAAGCCACCGCTTACACTATTTACTATTCAACAATTCAAAATACTTATAATGATACACACAACCTTGAATAATCTCAACAGCTGCTGGCCTTAGCCCAAACTAACTTATATATCATCGCAGATCGTCATGGATACAAAAGTAATTCTCGTTACATTTCATTTTCCTTGTTTCATTTTTATGTTCATTTGTCCTCGCCTCTATTGCTATGCGTAATGCATACGCTTTCAAGTTTTTTTTATCTTTTTTTCATTTTTTTTTTTTTTTTTTTTTTTTTTTTTTAAGTTAGTTTCCGGCCGATCGAAGCTCCGCAACATTCTTGCAAAAAAGAAAAGAAAAAAAAACAGAAAACAGTTTCTTTTTTCTTTCTCCGATTTCAGTAGATCTTACTTCACAATCTTCCGTCGTTAATTTAATTATCTCTCCCGATCTCTTTGTTGCTCCTTTCGTTAGTGATTTATTTCCTTTCTTCGCTCATGGTTCGCATATGGTTGTATACAAAATATCGTAATCAGGGCACTCACAAACATCAGTCACATGCGTTTTTCCTTTTTCCCTGTATTATTTAATTACTAAACGGAACGTTACTTACTTGGCATGATACATACACACAGCTTGTGTATATCCCGTTTCTCTTATTTCGTTCTTTCAAGGAAGAAAGAAAAACGCATCTACCATCCGCTGCTCTTACAATCAACTCTCTCGGCTTCACGTACGATTTACCCATCATTCTTCTGTCTCACGTTTTTTTTTTTTTTAATTTATATTCCGTTATTAATTATTATTACGCTCGATATAAAAATAATACTCAGTCGATTAGTACAGATTTAATACTCAGTGTAAGAACTGGGGAAGGGGTCTTAGCGCTTCCGGTTTTTTTTGTTTTGTTTTTATAACGTGTGTGTATTTCTTCACGCCTCTGTTACTGTTTCTTTTTCTCCGTACATACATATATTCATCGCGTGTCTGTCTCTGTGTGTACGTGTTATACTTATTCATTAAATTATTACATACAGTATGAGTACAGCATGTAATATAAGTGTGCACATGTGTATCTGTGACTTAGGATTTCTACCAGTGGTAAACCGGTGATATCGAAAAGTTCACGGTCGCGCAGACGGACGGAACAGTGCTGCGAGTTAATTGAATGGTTTCTCGAGTTGCAAGAGTCGATTTCTTTTTCTTTTTCCACTTAATCGTTTCGCGAAAACCCCTTCTCTCTGTCATGTACAATTATGCATACCTTTGCTTCATTTTCTCTTCTTTCGTATCGTGTCCTCGAGACTTTCGTATACATTTGTTCGTCGTTGGACGCGAGATGCTTCGCGACCATGTTCCTAAAAATCCTTCATCGAACTAAGATCGATATATGCATATATATATATCGTAGCGGCGAAGCATCTCGAATTGCTCCCGCCAATTTCGATCCATCGCTTCGATTTCCGTTCTAACTGCTCGTTTCTTTCCTTTACACCTGAGAATCACTCGCCAATATTTATAATTACAGGATCATCGTCGACTTTTGTACCCGCTAATGCGATCGGTGAGATCGTAGAACTATAGTTCAGAGGCACGTTTAACAAGGTGAACAGAACTGGAATGTCGATGGATCGAAACTGGTGACCAGCCAGATTACGTTTACAATAGCGAATATAATTCTTTATTATCGTTAATTACTTGAACATCTGTATTGAACGAAATCTCCAGGTGAAGGCACCTAAAGCATTGACCGTCCGCATCTTGTACCGCAATAAAAAAAAACCGAGTCGTGTCTCGCAGAAAAAGGAGGGAATGACCATACGCGCAGTGCCTGATCATGTTACGAGCTAACGGGTGTTTCGTTTTGCTTTTTTCTTTTACAAAAAAGAAAGAAAGAAAGAAAGAAAGAAAGAAAGAAAGAAAAGAAAGAGAAAGAGAAAAAAGAGAAGAAAAAAAGTAAGAGCGAAACTCGTATATAAAGTACACAATAATGTAGAAACAATAAATTAAGCCAGTCGTTGCCGAAAAAAAATATGTCTTACGTAAACGTCGGTGCAAAAAAACGGTGAATACAATAAATTATAGTTTAAATAATTACTCGGGGGTTGGGGTCGCTTATGTAAAAATAGACGTA